AGAAAGACAACTTTACTAAATTCATTTTATGGTATATGAAAGCATAATAGAGTCAATGTATTAATCCCAATGGAGGATGTCAATGGTTTACAACACACACCATTTTGTGCACCATTAAAAACACACCAATTAGTGTCCTGAGACACAAATCAGGCAGCTGCTGAACCTAGTCTAGTGAGGGCAGGGCCTGGAGGAGGGGGCAAGGTGGTAGAGGATTCCGTAGGAGGATCAGAGAAACCACAGGTGGTGAAGAGCTGCAAATTTAATCCTCCCTAGCTCAGAGCCCCTAAATCCCCAGGCTTCCATGCTCACATCCCACCTAGGGGAAGCTGAGGCTGAAGCTAGGTAGAGGCAGACGACCTGCCTGATCCCCATTCCATCACCCTACGCACCAGGATCCACCCTGAATCCAGGGGAATTACATAATGCCCGCTCATCCAGAAGCTTCTGCGGCATCTCCCTGAGGCTGGTCTGAGAAAAAGGGAGCTCCAGGCAGCCCTACAGGCAAGATCCACAAGCCAGGTGTCTGCCTAAGCCTGCTGCGAGGAGAAGGAAGCTAAGGTGTCTTACTGAGAACCCACAAGGGCCACTAAGCCAGGTGCCTCCCTCGGGCTGCCCTGAGAGAGGAGTTCTGCGCGACTCCAGAGACAGAACCACCCACGAGGGTCCCCAAGCCAGGCGTCTCCCTCAGGCTACTCTGAGAGAGGAACCTCTGGGTGACCCTAGGGACGGGAATGACTCACGAGGGTCCACACCCAGAGCCTCCCTCAGGCTTTTCTAGGAGAAGGGGACTTGTGGGTGACCCTAGGGACAGAAATGACCCACAAGAGATCCCATACCAGCGCCTCCCTCAGGCTGCTCTAGGAGAAGGGGACTTTTGGGTGGCCCTAGGGATGGGAATGACCCACGAGGGTCCCCACCCAGGGCCTCCCTCAGCCTGCTCTGTGAGAAAGGAACTGCCCCCGTTTGTAGGACACAACCCACAAGGGACCCCTGGCGGGCCCCTCCCCGAGGCTATCCTGAGCAGGGGGAGCTCTGCCCTCCCTGCGGAGTGACCCACCACCTGCGGGAGCCTGGACTCCTCTGTGGAGCCCTGAGGAGGCAGCTTGGCCTCAGCCTGGCGGAGGCAGAACTGGCACCAAGATGGCGCCTCGGCCCCGCCTGGCCACGCCCATGCAGGTCGCTCCTGCAGGGCGGGTCGGAGGCCCTGGTTGTCCTGGGGAATCTCAGCGCCCTCCTCCACCACCGGAGGTTATGGGATGAAATCCGTTCTCACTGCTGTAACTAGGTCTGCTTGTGTTTCTGTGGCACCAGGATGAGTTGAATCTCAGGAGCGGAGAGAGGGGAGTTCAGGGGCCACCTCCCTGCAGCCCAGCCTGCCTTCCACCAGGCCAAGCACAGCTGCAGCCAGGGGCCAGGCAGGCAGAAGCCCCAACTCTGGCAGCCGCGTGCAGCCCTGGCTTCACTCTACCGCCCAAGGGCAGAAGGCAAGAAACAGGCCACCACAGAGGCCACTGGGAAGTGCACTGTTTGAGACAGAGTGGCTTAGCCAGAGACTATCCCATTTTGGGATCATAAGTTTTAAGAAAAGCAGTTAAATCCCAGTCTATAGTGGTCACTGTCAAGGTTATGAAAACCTGAACTCAAAGTCACCAACAGCTCTGAGAGCTGCAGGCTGCATCCCCCTGCCCTGGGGCATTCTAGATAATTCAGTCTCATGCCCAGCTCTCACCATGAATGCTTCTAGGAGCAGGCTACCCATTCATTCAGAATTCCTAGGAATCCTGGACAGTGGGGTCTGTGTTCTGCCACACAGCACCATGGGGGCTTAGAGCTCCAAGGAGCCACTGTAGCATAGGATTACCATTGAGGATCCTGAGAGCTTCAGTTTCCTAGGGATTCTGGGTTTTGCCTACAAGGCCCATTTTGGGAGGTTCATGACCCTCGTGGGTCATTCCCGTCTCTAGGGTCACCCAGAAGTCCCCTCTCAGAGCAGCCTGAGGGAGCAGCCTGGCTGTGCACCCTGTAGGACTCTGGCAGTGCAGTCTGGTGTTGTGCCCACGCAGCCTTCACTGCAGAGGCTTCAACTTCAGTAAGCTTCAGACCCCCATTAGTCATGGACGTTGTCGTGTGCTGCTATGTTGATGCATCCCATGCTATAGTGGCTCCTTGGTGTCGGGGACTAGAAGGAAATTCTCCTTCAAAGATTAGCCTGACAGCCCCCTGGGAGACATCCTGCCTGGGAGGCATCCTGCAGCTACCTATCTCCCTGGAACATCCTGCGGTTATCAGGATCATCAGACATCTTGCAGCTGGCAGTTTTACCACCCACATCCAGCAATTGTGGAGACCTTCCCCATCCCCAGCATATGAATACCCACCCAGCAATTGCTGATTAGAGAGCTTCCCCATCCCCAGCATATAAATACCCCTGTGTGAACAATAAAAGTTTGCAGCTTGATCAGAACTTTTGTCTTGCTGTCACCTTTCGTGTCTCTTGTCCCTTCATTCCTCTCCATCTAGGTTCGCGGCCCACGTTGATGTGTCCTGTTGGTCGGGACACTTGGCGCTCTAAGTCCCCAGGAATTCTAGGTATCATAGTCCATTCTACTCAGGCAGCGCTGATTTCAGAGTCTGAAATTTGCAGGCCATTGACTATTCTGGGTAGTGTAGTCCATCCTGCCTAAATGGACCTCACCATCAAGGCTCCCAAGATCCGCACAGAGCACCCTGCCTGGGCACCCATGAAGCATCTGGGTAACTCAATACAAACCTTTCCCCTTGCAAACCTTAACAGGAGGGTGTCTGGGATCTGCAGGCCCCAAGGCATTCTGGGGAGTGTAGTCTGGCCTTCTGCCTGCACTGCCCTCACTGTGGAGTCCTCTGGGATCGCAGGCTCACAGGCACCTGGCTGACTCCAAGAATTCTGGGTAGTATAGTTCAGTTTTATACCCTGTACTCTTACCTTTGAGGATCCTGAGAGCTGCAGTTTCCTAGGGATTCTGGGTAATGCAGTCCAGTGTTTTGCCCACATGCCCCCATGGGGAGGTCCATGAGAACTACAGGCCACATGCTTGCCTTGGTGCCCTAAGAATTCTAATAATGTAATCCAGTTTCCTACAAATGTGGTTGTTAAGATCTGTAAACAAGTCAAAATAACACCTGGTATTTTGCCAGAGAAATGTTAGAGTTTGTAAACAAGTCTGGATGGTGCCTGGCAAAATGCCAGAGGGAATGGTTTGAGAAGTAACAAAAGCGAGCCATTAAGTGTGGAGATTCCTTATTGGTTGACTAATGTATCTAGTTTATGCTAATTAAGATAAGCTGTGTGGAATGTATAAATAGCTCTGTTGTCCTACAATAAAGGGCTCCTACTCCTGCTGTATCATAGTACAGAAGTTATTCGTCACCCCCCACACACACCCCCACCCCCCACACACCCACACACCCACACACCCCCACACCCCCACACACCCCCACACCCCCACCCCCGCCAGTTTGCTGCAGCCGGACTGCAGCAATGGTCCCCACTGTGTAGGCCCCTGGGAGTTGCAGTCTGCTCACTCATTTAGGCAATCCTCCCCAAGGATTCTGGATAGTGTAGTTCAGTTCTCTACAGTGCAGCCCTCACCACTGAGGAGACTTGGAACCACAGGTCCCTGAATGTTATGGGTTATGTATCCCAGGGTTTTGCCCACTCACTACAGAGAGTTCTAGGAGCTATAACACTGAGGATTTGTGGGTAATGTGCACTATTTTTGATCAATTACCACCAAGGACCCTGGGAGCTGCAGCCCCCGAGGATTCTGGATACTGTATTCTAGCAGTTTCCCTGTGCAGCCCTGTTGAGAGGAACCCCTGGAGCTGTAGACCCCATGTTTTTCCTGGTAACCTGAGTTTTTTTAGGTAGTGTGCTCTGCCAATGCAGCTCTCACTACAGAAACCTCTGAGAGTTACAGGGATTCTGAGCACTAAAGTCAGGTAGGTCTTCTGCCCTGGCAGCCCTCACCCCAGAGGCTCCTGGGAACTGCAGGCACCCAAGGGTTATGAGTACTGTAGTTTGTCATTCTGCCTGAACAGTCCTCGTGGCAGAGGTCTCTGCAACCTGCAGGTCCCCAAGGGTGTAAATCTGTCATTTGGCCCTTGCTGCCCTCACTGCAGAGGGTTCTGGGGACTGAAGGCCCTGAAGAATTCTGCGTAGTGTAGTCCAGCATTCTGTAGCCCAACACTCACCATGAAGACCACTAGAAGTTTCAGGCCATATACTCCCAAGATACCCTTTGTTAAATGGGCAAATTGCAGGACATAACTCATAATCTTTAGGGGTAGGAAGCTCTCTGAATTCCCCACCATCGCAAAACCCTACCTCTAACTGTTACCATACCCCTGGCCCCAACTATAATTAATCCTGAGGGTTTTGTGTGATGTACTTCCATGTTTTGCTGGCTCTCCATGGGGGATCCTGGGAGCTTCCACCTCATTGGGATTATGGGAAATTTAGCCCAGATTTGAGTGCTGGGTGGAGGGGTGTGTGTGTGTGTGTGTGTGTGTGTGTGTGTGTGTGTGTAGGGGGTAGTGTTGTGGGGTCTCCTGCAAGCTTCTGCCCCTAAAGATTGTGGGTAATGTAGTCCAGTGTTTTGCTCACACACATGGAATCAGAAAAGGTAGCTCTGAGCGCCCCCTACCAGCCACTGTGGGCAGCACAGGACCCTCAGCACTCTGTTCAGCGGTGACCCCACAACCTCTCCTGGCAGTCCCAGTGAAGCTCTGAAATTAATGATTCTAATTAGTCCAAGCCATGATTTTAGAAATAAAATGGCAGTGGAACCCAACATCCAATGCCTTGATCAGAATGGATAGAGAAAGAAGCAACGAGCACGGCTGATAAACAGAAGTCCACTGATTTCCTATATATCAGCAACGAATGGAGGAAATGTGAATTTGAGAACTAGAGTAAGAAAAATTTAAATAATACCATTTACAATAACACATCCAAAGTGGAAATTTTAAAATGTCTTATATTTTCAGAAAACCCTGAAACAATGGAAAGAAATCAAACAAAGCATAAATAAATGCAGAAACATTCCTTCTTCAGTTTTCCACAATTAAAATGAAATTCTCTCAAACTTGATCTGCAGTTTCGGTGTGATCACAGACAAACCTGTGTCCCAGTGTTTCTGAATCTCTGAACCTAGAATAGATGACACTGACTGCAGAAGGACCATCAAAGAACTCAATCACCTGCATCCCAACCCCTGTTGGAAAGCCAAAGCAGTGAAGAAAATTCGCTGCTGTGAAGAGACAGACAGAAGATCAATGGAGGTGAGGAGAGAGCCCCAAACATAACCACTACATCTAGCAGCTGATATTCTGAAGAGACAAAGACCTTCAATTAAGAAAAGAGTGTCTGCTGCACAGATGGTGATGGAGCAATTGGAAACCGTACAGGAGAAATGGACAGAAGCAAATTTCATAATTCACATAAAACTCACTCAGAATAGTCCACAGGCTTACATGTCAATTGTGCAGCTGTAAAAAATCATATAAGAAAATATGCATGACCACATATTCACATATTTCATTATGAGTTTTTAAATACAGCTCAAAAAATCCATGAAAGAAAAACTGTTAATGTGAACTTTATTAAAATTGAATATCACCAAGTACAGTGGCATATGTCTGTCTCACCAGAGACCCAGAAGTCTGAGGCAGGAGGATTGCAAGTTTGAAGCCAGCCTGGGCAACTTAGTAGGGCCCTATTTCAAAATTTAAAAAAAAATGTAAACGGGGTTGGGGATGGAGCTCAGTTGTATAGCACCCCTCAGTTCAATGCCTAGTACCAACATATTTAAACATATGAAAATTTCTATTCTGTGAAAAATCACATTTAAGGAAGAAAAATATGAGCCATAACATGGGAAAATGTTTGGAAAATTCATACCTAAAGTAGACTAAAATCCTAACTATACTAAGAAAATCAATAATAACAATATAATTAAAAACAGGTAAAATATCTGAAGAGATAACTCATCAAAGAAGATATGCAAATGGCAAAGAAGTATAGAAAGTTGCTCGGCATCAGCTGAAACAAAACACACGGCTCTGATGGCACTGCCCACGTATTAAGTGGCTAAAGCCTTTTAAATACAGTATCAGCTGTGGTATATGGAACAAGAATTCATTCATTGCTGGTGGAATGCATAATAGTTTATCACTTTTTTAAAGTTTAATAGGTTTTTCCAAAGATAGATATGAACTATGATCTTAAGAATTTAGACACTGCTTTGAAAATATGTCTTGAAAATATCTGTCGAAATACAGCATGAAATTACATACAGAAGTTCTGTTCATAATGGCTAAATTCTCAAGGAATCAAGATGTCCTTCAACAAGTGAATGGATATCAGACCCACCGAGGCCCTGGGGTCTCTGAGCTCCCCAAGGCCCACCTAGCCTAGCCTTATTCTTGATGATAAACTCTGAAAGGTGCAAAGGCCCCAGTCTGCCTCTTGGCTCACGAGAGCCTCCTGGGGAAGGACAGCCAGACCTGGAGGCAACTCCAGGAGCCCCCCGTGCCATGCCTGCCAGGGAGGACCTGGAGGCAGCTGCTGCGATCCACCTCCAATTAGCCTGGAGGACCTTATGCTGCATCCTCATTCCCCCAACTCAACTGCTTACTTCATCCCCTTCTACAGGGAGCAACCACAGCCTGAGCCTGGATTTTCTTAAATTGTTTGTTTGGTGTTACAGAGAGAACTGTGCCCTTATAAAGCCCTGATGGAGTACCATTGACAGGTCCTGGATCAGCTGTGGGCTGGCTCTATGAGCCCCTATCCAGGTCTGGAACTGAGCACAGGGAGAAGGGAAGGGCTGGGCAGCAGGTTCAGGACCCCTGCTGGGGCAGAAACCTCATCCTCAGCAGGCCTACCTTCCTCTTCCTCCAGGAAGCTCTCCTGCCTCCCACACAGAGGCCAAGCGGCACCTGTGCCAGAACACTCCATCTTCCCTCCATGTGCCAGCCTGGCATCCACACAGGACCCAGTCTCCCAGGCCTCTCAGCGCACCCCCATCCCTAGGCCCTGTGCTCACAGCAGTCTGAACCAGGGTACAGGTGCTAAGGATAAAGCTAACCCCTGACAGCATGCTGCCCGGGGCCTTCTAGCAGCTTCAGATTCTAGACACCTAGGAGTGTTAGAAGCTAGGTCTTGACTGTGTCTCGTGTCCTTTGTGTGTAAGTGGGGAGCAGTGTGTGTGTGTGTGTGTGTGTGTTATGCACACACAGGTGCATGGTATGTCGTGGCATGTGTAACAGTTGGGGAGAGTATGTGTATGCATGTGTGCTTGCACATGCGTGTCCATACATTCATGACAACTGGTGCCAGTAAGGGAAGGAATGCACCCCTTCCTCCAAGGGAATCCTAGCTTCTAACACTCCTTCTATAGAAAGAGAAAAAATACACCTTCTTCGCTTAAAAAGATTAGGAGAAGAAATGGAGCGATCCTGTATTTCTTAAAACACACACTCAGTTGAGATCCAGCCCAAGTCAGGGAGGACTGCGGGGCCACCCCTGCAGCCTGGACAGGGGCCTTCCTTCCTCCCATGGCAGCCCTTCCTGTGCTGCTGGAGGGGGCTGGAATCAGTGCCAACCCGCCCCCCAGCAGAGCCAGGACTGAAATGTGCTGAAGTTTTCCTCAGAAGACAAGTTGAGCAGTGGAGGGTGTGGAGAAGGAGGTGATGTTTGGCACTCAGGACTTTGCTGCCCATGGAGGAAGAGCTCAGCTTCTGGGCTGGACCTGATGCTCATCCCTGAGGTGAGAGCAAGGCGCTCAGTCTGAAATGTCCCAGGGCACAGCACGGAAGGGCCAAGACTCAGAAGGCAGCTGGGGTGCTTAAAATCAAGTTGGTTCCATGGACCTGACTCTGCTCTTCCCACCACCCTGACCTTGCCTGAGCCCAGCTGCCCTGGGTCTTCCAGCTCTGCCCTCCAGTGCCAAGCCCACTCCCCTTGGCACCTCCCTGTCATCAGGGTCAGTATCTTCCCACCATTCCTCTCACTCAGTGTTGGAATGACTAACGAGGAAGACTGGGAGGAGGACCATATCTGAGTTCAGGGACAGCCAGCGTGTTTGTTTCCCAGGGCAGCAACAAAGCCCTGAAACACGTGTCACTTAAAACACACGCACACTGTCTCACAACTCGGAGGCCAGAATTCTAAAATCAAGGTGTTGGCAGGGTTAATCTCCCTTTGAAAACTGTGGGAAGGGTCCCTCCTTCCTCTTCCAGCTTCTGGTGTTTGCTGGCAACCTGTGCTATCCCTTGTCTTGCAGTGTTAGAAACAGCACCCAGCGATGTTTTTTAAAGCAGGGGAGCAGCTGTTTTCAGGATTCTCACATAGATATAGAGACCTCTGTAATGGGGTCTGTGGAGATGACCAATCAGAAACGTGAGAGAGCCTCTGACCAAATTGACCCCATAGCACTCTTGTCTGAATGAGGGTGAGCAGCCATCACCAGGGACCGTCAAGACAAGAGACCCAACCAGAAAGGGAGGAAGACAAGGTATGAGGAGGAGCTTGTGCTGGTGCTCCGGAGCACTGGATTGTACAAGGAAGGGCGGACGCGCACAGATGGGCCCAGGAGAGTGTTTGGAACCTGATAGAAGTTTGACCAGGCAGAGAATCTCTGTCATTTTCCTGTCTTGTTCAAGAGAAGATATTCTTTTCTTTGAAAATGTCAAGTCCATTTTCTCAATTGGTTATTTTTTACTTATCAGGGATAAACTGAATTGTGCCGGGACTTGGTCACAGAGGGTATTTCTTAGATGGTGCTGGCAGTCACCATTTAATGAGGAGAAATTTCTACAAAAATAAAGAAAAACAGACTATTACTGTGGAGGGAGGCCCAGTGTCAAGTCCCGAGAGCATCCAGCTGCAACTCCTCCTGCTGGGCTCGAAGACGGCAGTGGCAGCCCAACAAACGCCCTGGGTGGCAGCTGGAATGTCACTGGCCATGGCTCTGAGTGTCTTGGCTCACCATCTGAGGGACCCCACAGCAGCAGGTGTCTTCTGTGATCTAGAACAGGCGCAAAGCTCTGCTCTGCATGTCGGCCAGAGCGGGAGCCTGTGGGGAGGGCAGTGTCATTTCTGTGCAAAACTACCTTCACTCGGAGCTTCACTGTCAGACTCTCCTAAGCCGTCGCCACACTTAACTCTTCTACTTAACAGAACAAGCTGAATAAATATGGAAATGTCTTTACTAATTTTTCCTATGAGAATAGAGGGAATTGGCTGGATTGGATGGGTGAGACTGCAACACCCCAGAATGCATGATGCTACGGAGAAAAATTGCTGAAGAGAAAATGTGTGAAACCACCTGGAACTGCATTTCTTCTTCGTAAACAACCACTAGAGATCACTTAAAGGCATAGGGACCCAAGGAGAAGTGCAGAACTCTGAGCACATGACAACTGGGCCCAAACCCTGGCACTAAGAGTTTTCACCAAGTGAACCTACCAGGCTCAAGTAGCTTAGGGTGACCCCAGCAACATTTCCACCTCCACCACCTCCATTAAAACATTTGCCTCAGGAAAAAAAAAAAAACAAAACAAAACAAAAAAAAACATTTGCCTCAGGAAAGCTCAACATTGCCAGGAAAACTTACCATGTTCTAACCCATACCAGATGACCGGCCCTGACCTCCCCTTCTTGAAGTATTTACTAAAAAAGGCTTGCAACTGAAAATATGTTTCTCTTGCAACACAGAAGGGCCTCTGAGAATGTGATTGAGAAGGGGATGGGGTATCTCCCCATGCTTGAAGAAGCTAGAATCCTTACTCAGGCAACTATCAGCAACAGCTGGCCTAACTGCCTATGTACTGAGACAGGTGGGCTCTGAGGGAAAAGGAGAGGCTCTAGTAGATGGAGACCTTTGGTAAGATGAACGAAACTTTCAGTGCATGCTTGCAACAAATAGAACATATTAATGTACAAGTCTCCAGGTTCGAAGAATTGCACAACACGCCCCCAGATGACTTATGGCTAGACTGTTTCAACAGAGGAGGAACATCCTGAACTCAATGCAGTGTGACTGTTGTGAGACTGAATTCTGAAGAAGCCTAAGGACCTGCACTTTTCTCCCCTGGAAAGTCACACACACAGGGAGCTCACCTTTGGCGTGCCTCAGTCTCCTCCCTGAGGGGCAGGCAATACACTCTGCCTTGGGGTGCATACACCTTTGCTGCCCTTAAGACCTTTGCTTGTGTCTCACCTCTGACATATCCAGGCTAAGATGAGGTCCCCTGTCCTCACAGGGGTGCCTCCTCGATCCCTTTGGTGACACACTGACCCTCTGCCTCTCTACCTTGTTGACTCTCTTGAACTCAAACCCTTCCCCTCCCTACTTTCCCCCATTCAAAATGTCAAACCACCTGTGCACAAATGAGAATGGAGCTTAGCTTCTTCCACCACCTCAGTAGTTACTGGATGAAATGTGTTCCCAGGCCTTCAACTGACAAATGCCTATATTTATCTCTGCTATCACCAGGAGTGGGAAAAGAGAGAAGAAAAAGCAGTCAAGAAAACCACCTGTTTCAGGAGCCTGGGTTTAAGAAATTGGACGTAAGAACCAGAGACCACTATGAGGAGAAACTGCAGCTCAGGAGCGAAGCCCCCAGGTCTCTGGGAGTTGCAGGATGCTCTCCACCTGTGCCTGTGACAATAGGTGTCCACTCACCGATATGTGGAGATCCGAAGTGGGCCTGGAGGCCCCTGGGAAGGACAGTCCACACCCTGTGGAGGCCAGGATCCCCGCCCACCCTAACCCAGCCACACTTACATAGGCAGGTCCAGAATGTCGCACTTTCTCCTGCGCCTTCCTGGCAGGGTGCCCCGCCCACTAGGTGCGTCAAGACTCATGCCCATGTACCACAGGCAGCATGGCAGGGGTTTTGTTTTTTATTTTTTTTTTTTTGCTAAGTTTTTATTTTAATCCAAGGACTTTGCTTCATACAAAATATCATTGTAGAAACAATATCAGAATCCAAAGTTTGGCTTGTAAATATTACTCAGGCAGCAAACAAGTCAATCACAGGATTCTTTTTTTTTTTTTTTTAAGTAGATACCAGTTATGTTCCATGGTTGGGTCAGTCTCTCCCTCTCTCTCTCTCTCTCTCTCTCTCTCTCTCTCTCTCTCTCTCT